TATCAAAGTCGCGGAGTGGATTTTGAGGCAAGAAGAAGTGGTATGACAGGACGAACGTACCGTAAATACCGAGTAAAACGAACGTGCTCTTAAGAGGGTTGGCAGCAGAGGTGGTTGGTAGGGGGGGGGGGGCGCCTACCACCACTACCACTACCACTACCACTACCACTACCAAAACCACTACCACTACCACTACAACCACTACGACGACTACTACTACCACCACAACTGCCAGTTGGAGTCCCCGACAACGCAGGGGTTATTGTTCGACGAACACCACTCACCCCGCCATTGAAGGGTATGGAATTAAGTGTCTCAGCCGCACACAGAGCCCATGGTGGTCGTAGTGCATGTCCGTCCAGAGTTCCCCCACAGCCCAGGCGGGATGGCTCTTCGAGCAGTAGCTGCCTGGGTCATCAATTGAAGCACAGAGACGGAGTTGGTAGTTTCACTGGCTACTCCATGTAGATGGCAAAATAACACCACGTCCCAGGTGCCAACGAACTCAGCACCATAGCCTTTGACGAAGTCGAAGCGCCATCCATCGAAACCAACCTGCAAGAGGAACCCGCGACTCCAGCAAGCGCCTCCTGTTTCCAATGTACTCTTGGCCTGGAGTCGAAGCCATCTCAGCCAGATGTTGATGCTGTCCTGGACCTGGTAGAGTGGGCAAAAAATAAAACATTGCCAGCGATTCCTGAAGCGATCTCCCAGGAACGATTCACGAGCACCTTCGGGTTCCGATGGTCGATGTCCGGCGCGGCATCGAACTTTCCGTCAGCCTTGCCGGGCGCGTGCATTCCTTAGGCCGGCGACGGGCCGCAGCTTAAAGCCCCCCAACCTGTAAAACCTCAGCATAACAAGCATGGCGCGGTAATTGGGTCCATGAGTCCGCTCCCGTCGGAGTACTGGTCCCCAAGGGTGATGGCCCAGCCACCCCAATCACCAACGCCTGCGAAGCTCGGCCTCGCCAGCGAGTAAATCTAGTGAGAGGACCTGCACGCCGACCTTTTCTTGCCTTGACGCCTAACAGTAACGAAGGTAGATGCCAATGACAAGATATGATTCAGATGAAGTATGAGGCACCCAAAAACTCCTATTGAAACCAGGGATGTCATTTTTTCTTGCAGTGGGTTTCATGCTGTTGTGGATACCAGCGACCACTGGTGACCCGTGGTGATAGAAAATCCATGAAGCCTGGTCGTCATTCCACTGGAGAACTGGTTCCATCGGCCCTGGCTGTCCTGCTTGTCCCCGCACCTCTCAGGGAACTTCTAGGGTGCCAGAGAGAGAATTTGAGGATCCCTAGGCTCGGCCTGTGGTTGATGACGATGTCGGCCAGGCAGCGAATGCCATGCTTGTGGCACTTCTCGAGCAATGTTTCCAGTGCTGCTTGGGAACCGTACTTGGACCCATCCAGGTTGAAGAGCTGAGATGGAAGGTAGCCCTCCCGACTGGGTGCTTTCAGCAGGCAGGTGAGGTCAGAGCCGAACTATGCTGGTTGGGGTACGTTACCATACTTCCGCTCCCCTACAATGCGTACAGGCGTGCTCCGCCTACGCCTACCCCTGTGCAAGGTGAACGCATTCATCAGTCCGCAACCGCGTAAGAACTGCCTGTGGCGCCACGGACTGCGAGCAGGGCGGCAACCAGAGATCTGTGAAGCCCATGTCATGCAACATCTGGATCCTTTTTCCGATGACCTTGGCACAGCAAAAACCGAGCGACATGACCAAAGTAAGGTCACCCCACAACATGCACAGCATAGTCATCGTTGAGCCAAGAAGCACTGTACCAGTCACCTCCACCAGAGCGCCAGCTCTCCCAGTTAAAGCCTGCAGGATCTGGGGATGCCCGGTGACACATGAGCGCGGAGAGGCCGCTTAGCCTCGCACCTTGCAGAAGGACCATCTTAGACGAATCCACAGTATCCTCGGAACATCGGCTGCACAGTCGAGTGCGCCTGTTTTCCCGCAAAGCCCCATTGCAGCCCACGAATGGCTGTTACAGAACTCGTAGAGGAGCCCCGAACCAGTAATCACAATCGAGGGCAAGCTTCTGTGATCTTAGCCATCCGCTCCTCAGTTGGAGAGACAGTGCATTTGCTACACGTGCATTGGTATCATCGTGCGCATGTACGGACATACGTACATGCATTACATTCATACAAACACACACACACACACTCTCTCTCTCTCTCTCTACAACGCACACACTACAACACACACACACACATACCTAAATGAAACGCGGGTGGACAGATAAACGGAGGTATATTCATCAGCTTTTCTATTAGTTAACAAGCATGGTTGTGTGACTGACGAAATCTAGCGAGTAACCAAAGCACCCTTCATACTCAAAACTGCTGAGTAGTTGATGGTGACCACACCATGCGGCAAGTTTCGATCAGATGCGTGCTTTTCATCTTCCTTTGGAGCCTTGCGACATGACACTCGGCACTTTGGCACCACCACTTTGAACGCTGGCCCGAGACAAACTGCGGTGCACATCGGTCCTGTTCAATTGTGCACGTTCTTCGATGGCATCGAGCTCCTTCGGCAAGCAGATATCTGCATTGAAACTGAGCACTTTTTGCAGCCGGCACCCGGTCCTTCTCGTGAAGTGCCGCTTCCTCGTTGAACTTCTCGAAATTGATCAATAGTAAACTGGGTGTCCTGCATCGGAGCAGATGTGCTTAGCATCAGCATAACCACCACCACCACCACCACCACCACCATCAGCACCTTCGATATCTTCGTCAGAATGCATGTCATGTGAGAGTCATGACCGACTGTGTCGACATCAACAGCAGCAGCAGCAGCAGCATCATTCTAATCTTCATGATGTGAGCGCCCCTGCCGCTTCGGCAGTTCCCGTGCACAGCCGGCTGAGGCTGCAGCGTGTTAGCCGAAACCAACCCAGCGAGGGTGGGCGAGACACATCATGAACAGATCTTGATATGCTGACTTCCCGCTTTTTCAGATGCTCTTGTCCTTCATGACAGGCATGGGCTCAGGTTGGAGCGTTCACACTGAACTCGACCCGCTGTGGGCACAAGAAGACCACAACCCACACTATTGACGAGGAGGGTGCGAATTGCTCATTGATCTATTTTGCTGCCGTACATCCTCAGGGTTTAGATCCCTGAAGGCCTTCTATAAGCATGGTGCCATGCAAGGACACATAAAAATCACGTAAATGCAAAAAGACAACCAATGAACCCCAACGACAAGTACAGGGACCGTGCTTTGTTTTTGCTCCGCAACTGAAGCCTGGGCAAACTAGCAAATGAGTGCACGGCCCGTCCGGGCCAAACACCCCCGCAGCTTTTGCTTTTGCTGTTCGTGTTTTGTTTGCTGTAGCTGCGGGGGGAACGGGGGTATTGTTTTGTTGCTGTTGGTGTGGACGGGCTGCGGCCATATACCTTTTCAACTCTCTTACGATAATACATACCTTCACGGAATGCCACTGTGAGAGTGGTTCAACACCCCCCGCCCCCCCATGCACCGGCATCCTGGGAAATGGGCCTGGGTCCATTTCCAGGGGACCCCCCACTCCCCTACCCGTGTTAAGTGGGGGGTATTTTGTTTCTATGCGACAGCATGTGTTTTGCGTTTATTTGTACTTCTTTGTCTTGTATTCATTTGGCTGATCCTCCCCGTGACCCAGCGCAGGCTATGGTTCCTTCGCTGTGGTCGCTGGGTCCTCGATTGATCCTCATCTGTGCTTTGGCAGGCTGTCCCTCTTGAAGATCCTCGACGAGATCTGACTGGTTGTCTTCATGACCCCGCGGAGGCCTGGTTCTCTCGCTGTGGTCGCTAGGTCCTTGAATGACCTGGCACTGTGCTCGTACACACAAGTGTGCTTGCATGATAGATCGCAAACCTTCTGGCAGTTTTGGCCGGAGCTAGAGCTTGTGGCTTCGCTGGAATCGTGCCCTCAATGGAGGCTGCAGACGCATCAGGGCTCTCGATGGAGGCTGCGGACGCTTGAAGGATCTCCTCGCCCGTCTCCATCATCTCCGTGACCACCCTCGCAGGAGTCGCCTGCAAAAGGCCAGAACAGTCCGGCGAGGATGGTGATGCCGCCGCATCGTAGACTGCCCTTCTAGTCAGCGATGGACACGCCGACGCCTGCATCGCAGAAGTGAGAGTCGCCTGAGACAGGAACGAAGCCTGATGGGGACGAGCCGTGCATACTCGCATAGAGGATGGACCGCCTTGTTACGCCTACACACGCCTCCGTCTCTAGTGCCTGCGAACCTTGATAGCGACGCCGGTGAAACACCTCCGACATCTGTGAAAAGTGCAACACATCCATTGCTGAAGCGTGCTATGCCTGAGGGGTAAGAACATCCAGAGACACCTCCCTTGCAAAAGCCTGCGAAGCCTCAGCTGCCACAGACGCCTCCATCAGACAAGTCTGCAAAGGTCGAAGCGGCTGCCTCTCAGACATTGCTGAAGATCACGAAGCTTGAAGGGGATGCACTGCCATCTCGTGCCAAGCCTGAGGATAGAAGTCCGACAGGTCCAGGCTCTAGTTTTCAGTCGTTCCCTATAGTGCACCGCTCCTTTCGTGGTCGTTCACGGAGGATCACGGAGGCGTTTTGTGACACGAGACACTGCCAGTGAGACGACTTGGGTGCAAGAAAGGGGGCAGCAGTGATGCCATTTTACCGTGTGGGCACTTGGGCACGGTTCTGACACATGTGTCGCCTTCGATCTGCTGGTGCAGGCTCACTGTGACAGGGCCCCGGGCCAAGAGCACTGCGAGAAGGTTTAGGACTCTGAGATTGGGTAGGCTGCTGCACAACGCTGAGCCAGAGCCGTTGGTGGCCGCAGCATGGGCACTGTGAGAGTGTACTGCGACAGGGCCCTTGCGAAATGGGCCCCGCTCGGAGGGGGTCCTGGTGGCTGGTAAGAGAGGAAGTGATCTGGTGAGAGTGGAGTCACCACCCCATCCCCGGGTTCATACTTCTCGGTCCCCACGGGCTTCCGGTGAATACGAGGCCTTCGCAGCAACATATACAGGCCGGCATATGCAGAGAAAAAAGCCCATAAAAGGACCCGCTCGGAGGGGGTTCCTGGTGGCTGTTATGAGAGAAAGTGATTTGGTGAGAGTGGGTTCACCACCTCATCCCCGGGTTCATATTCCTCGGTCCTCTGCTATCTAGATCCTATTCTTCTGGTGTGTGTAGATTGTTTTGCATGATGACGAAACAGACCCCTGTCGTAGGGTTTTATGGGGCTGCAATGAGAGGAAATAGATTGGTGAAAGTGGCGTGATCACCCCAGGCTTGGGTTCATTATCTTTCTCTATTGCCTTATCCGATACTCGTCCGTCCAGGATGCTGCATGCCCTGCTGTGGTGAAGCTGGACATACGTTCGCCAACAGGTGTCCATGCTTCTTGACCTGGTCTTGACCTCATGAGGTTTCTGCACCACCGGAGAAAACCGGAGAGAGCACTGCAGTTTGCCATCGGACCGCATGCCAGTGACTGTAGATTCACATTCCCCGTCTTGTGATATCTTTGCATTAAGGAGTCACATGCCGTCGGAGGCTGTCCGAAGGCTCTACCATGCTGCCCGTGGACGTCCGTTGTCCGAGTGCACTGACAGCACTGACCGAGTTCGCAGCTGTCATGAAATACTCTCTTGACGCTGGCCGTGCTTGGTGGCATGTTCCATGCGGCAGAAAGCACATCTGGGTGAGCAGCGATCCTGTTCAGTATGTACAGCAGCTGTCCAGGAGCTGGCTGGGCGTTGGATCTGCAGAGGTCCCACTCAGTTCCCCGCCTGCAACTGCCCGCTGAAGCGGATGATAGGCAAGATTCTGGTGAGACCAAGAAGGCCCGGGTAAAGACAGAGCTGGCCGATGATACCCGCGGCCCCATGGCAGCGGACTCACAGCCGCAGCAGAAGCCAGTGTGTGTGAAAGTGGAGCCCCAGAGCAGCCTTGCAGGCCAACCCGAATCCTTGCCCCAGTCCGTGATGACTCCGGATGAGATCGAGTCTCTGCTCCTTGGGACCGAACGTTCCCCTCCCGTGCAGGCTGGCATGCTGTCCTACACACAAGCGGCGATCCGTGCTAGGAGCCGCAGCAGCGACCCCTTCAGGGCCATGCATGCCCAAGAGGAGGCGAAAAGTTGATGATCCCGTCCTCCATTCAGAGTTCCCCCGCAGAATCGTGTGGTAGCAGCCCCGGTCACCAGTGCAGAAGGCCAGCTGAGGCCTTCGGGGTGCTGCGGCCAAGCCCAAGCCTGCTCCTGAGAAGTGCAAGTCCCAGAAGGAGAAGCTGAAGGAAGAAACGGCAGCAAAGGCCCAAATCACTGGTCATCACATATCATCACGGATACCGGGCTCTCATAGTGGCTGTTCGGCGTGCCCGGAGTTCATGTCTATGACCCCCCCCACTCTCACAAATCAGCCTGGTGAGAGTCCCTAAATAGGCCGGGCAAAAAGTAACGACCCCCCAAAAGGCATATTATTAAGTAGGGGGTATGAAACTAACAAAGCAAATAAAGACAGGTAAAAACCAATGAAGACGATTAAACAAATACATAAATATAAACATAAACGTAAACATATACATATACATATACATATACATATACATATACATATACATATACATATACATAGACATACACATATACATA